GAGCCGCCGCCGCCGCCGCCGCCGCCGCTCGCCAACATGGCGGACCTGGAGGCCGTGCTGGCCGATGTCAGCTACCTGATGGCGATGGAGAAGAGTAAGGCGACTCCGGCCGCCCGCGCCAGCAAGAAGATCGTCCTGCCCGAGCCCAGGTACCGGCTCCCCGGGCCCGCGCCGCTCCCCGCGTCGCCGCCCCCCGTGGCCGCCAGCGACACCCTGCGTCCGGGAGGGTCGGGCGCTCAGCCGCCGCTGCCCCCTCGGCCGGCGACCTCGGGGAGCGGGCGCTGCAGGGCCGGCCTCGCCGTTCCCGTCTCTGAAATGGGGCATCGGAGGGCTGTTGGGGGGACTCCGGGAGAGAGCGCCCCGAAGTGCCCAGCGCGGCGCGTGGCGCGCAGCAAGCGCCCCAGCGAGGTGTGGTGAGGATGTGGTTGTGACTTCGCTGGACCAGCTCCATCCCTGTCGCCCCTTCCTGCCCCATCTCTGCCTCTCGGTCCAGCTCCATCCCTGAAGTCCTCCCTATTTCTTTGCTGTGGTTCCTTCCTGCCCCATCCCTGTCCTTCCAGCCCCATCCCTATCCCTGGCCCCATCTCTGTCATCCCTGCCCTCCCCTCCAGCCCCAACATATGGTCCCTTGCCTGCCCCATCCCTGTCCCTCTTTCTGCCCCATGCTTGTCTTTCCCTTGTGCTCCATCCCGGTCGTTCTCCCTAGTTTCTGTTCCTGTCCCCCATTCCAGCAACGGCCTCCCCTCAGCTCCCTCTGGGCGCCTTAGCTGGGGAGTGCAGGCGAGTTGCCTTTTGCCCCAGGCACTTAAATTGGTGTTTTCAGTGCTTGCTCCCCTAGAGGTCCACCAGTCCAGTCAGCTTCCTGCATGCACTCCTTTTCTCTTTGGTGCCTCCAGGCAGTAAGGAGTGGATTCTGACCCACCCGATTTTCCTTTTGGTACTAAGTGTGTCACCTGGTGACAGATCCACTGGTGGCACTTTATTGAAAGGTTGAAATGGGACTCATGTAAAAACGCATGTTGAATGGGTGATTCCAGGCAGGAATTTGTTGTTTAAATTACCAGCAAAGGGGCCGATTGAATTGGCGAGGGTCTTGGTGAGGTCCATACCAAGTTGTAAATTTTGTCTTAAAAATGTCTTCAAAATGATTATTGATGTAATCATAAGTAAACGGCTTGATTAGTTCATATCATTGGCACCACCCCAGAAAATATCATGCATCAGATTAATAGTGAGTTCCAAACAGTGTATCAAAGGATTAGCATTGGATTTTTTTCCCCCTTAGCTTTCCTAATTAACAACATCATGAGTGGTACAGCAGATGTGTCTCCTTGACACTAAATAGCTCTTGGTCGATTGATGATAAAAAGAGGCATCTTCTTTTTGGTGAATTTAAGACCATGCATTTTTGTAATGTATTGGAATCTAAAACCAAAGCCATTCTCCATTTGAAAGCATCAGTTCTTCAAGTGTTATATACATCTGAGATTGCTTAAATGTTACCTTGACGTAAGAAAAAAAAAAATCTTTCTTGTGATGCTGAGGGATCATCAGATTATTTTTACAAATCCCTGAGTCCAAGCCCCACGATATAGAAAATATCTTTCGCTTTGCGTTATTCGTTGTGAAAAGTCAAATTGTGTAAATGAAGACATGCTTCCTGGATGTTTTTTGTCTCGCTTGCCCCTCATAGCCCCTGCCTCTGACATTTTGCAGGGAAAAACCTACTTTGATGAGCGAAGACAGGGAAAGTAAGGGAAGAGTGGAGGCCTTTTGGAGTGTTGTGAGAGCAACACTCCTGTTCCAGACTTTAACATATCCGAAGCTCGCTGATGATCAGTGCTGTTTAAAATTTCTGGCAAGTGGGAAACTGTAAAACAGTAACCCCCAAATGAAACCTGAATTTCATTAAAAAAAAAAACCCTCTACATTTCTATAAATGTCATATATAGTGCTTAATTTCTTTTCCTCTTTTTCTTCCTTAAGGGCAGGGAGCCCCAAATATATAAAGTGTCTATATGTAAAATCAACAAATCTTAACTCATGGACAGTTTTTTTTTGGGGGGGGGGTGATATATAATATTACTAAAATTAGGAACTCCTGTTCATTTTTTTTCTTGGTGTTTTGAACTTAATGTGGACTTCTGCTTTTTTTAATGTCCCTCTTAAGAACATACTTATGTGCTTAGGGTATTCACTTACCTGTGTGAAGGCCTCTGTTTTCGGTGGCATTCTTTGGTAATGCTTTCTTTTAGGGCAGAATTAGTGACCTGCCAGCAGATTTCTCATGACATTTTAGAACTGAGACATATCAACAGGAGAGTAATTTTAGGAAGCAGCTCTTTAGTAATTGTTATTCTGTTGCTGTTTTGTTTTTAAATAGACTCGAATTAGGCCATTGGAACCTCCTCCAGAGATTCTAACTTGTTTTGAGTTTATCGCAACTGGCTTTAGTTTTGTGCTGTGACCATTTACGTAGTAACTGCCACTCCTTGTGCTGTGTTAGGATTCTGGTACATAGAGATTATGAGGTAAAACATCTTGCACATTTTTCTCCACGACTGGATGGCAGTTAGTGGCCTACCTGCTCGATTTTGGGATGGGGGTGAGAGGTTGGGGGATTTCTAGCTCTGGTAAGCAAGTTAATTTCATGTTGAATTGCCTCAGCATCATGACTCAAAAGACTAGTGTGATTTCACTCTTTGGTAAAGAATACAGGTAACATGTTTTCTGATAAGAGTTTCTGTCTCAGCTTCATTTTGGGGTAAGCCCTGTGATCACCAGTCTTGGGCATTCTTGAAAAAGAGGTTTAGCTTTGTATTTTCAGTATCTAAATGGGAAGCATAAAACTTGCCATTGGTCTATACTGAGTGACTTTTCTTTCCAGCTAATTATTTGAAGCCACTGAGTATTCTGTGTGCTTCCTTATTTCACTTACTCTGCCTTTTCCCCAGTTTTGCACAGAAAGGCAACAGAATGAAGCAATATCTAGCTAATTTCAAAGAAGTGCGGGGTGTGCGGTCCCCTGCCTATTACGAGAGAATCTCAGAAAATGGAAAGTTCCGCCCTGGGGAGATTTTGCTTCTCTGAGATGGCAAGAGGCAACCATTTTGTTAGGCTGACACATTATTCAGTTAACGAACCAATGAGTGCAAATTCTGTAAAAGTTGCCTATTTGTTCAAATTATATAGCTGCTTTAGTTTACTGAAACATTTGTCGAGCTAATGTAGCTGATGTGCAGGCCCAGCTCATTCATATGTTTTATGCCATGTTAGAGAAGAAACGCTTTTATTTAATAGGGTCTAATTCAGAAGCCAAGGCCTACAAAGGGTCAGCATCTTAAGCCCTGGAGGGTTCAAGGCAGCTTTACCCCTGGGCTCATTACTCTTGTAACTTTTCCCGCACAGAGTGAAATTCAGTTGACTTGAGGTCACACACTTGCAAGAGGTTGAGTCACACAAAATCCATCTTTCCTCTGGTGTTTCATTTCTGTTCAGTGGACATTGAAAATTAGGGATCATCCATCACAAAGCTTGTCCTTTCCAAGTATTCACCCGCTATGATAGGAAGGTCTGAAAACATTTTAAAGAGCCTTTATAAGTTTCCGGGAGCATTTTAGACAGTCCTGAAAAAGGTGTGTGATACTGTTTATTCCATTAATTCAGTACCTGGTTGTAGAGGTGTTTTCCTGAGCCAGGCAGAGGGATACTGTGACCACCCTGGCCGCATCCTCTTCCTTCAAGGGGCTTACGGTCTAGTGGCAAATACACTGGGAGTTGAGAAAGATGTTTACTTTCATGTGCAGTTGCTTGAAGATTCTATTTAACTGTGGACAAGTAGCACGGAGTGGCTTTTACTATTCTATATTCACGGAACACATTATATCTGCTCAGTGTCTTATAGTAATTTGTTAATGATCTCCTTTGAAGAGCTATTTAGCTGTAATATATATAGTAATATGGTAGTGTGCATCTTCCTATTTTTAAAACTATCATGGGTAATTGATCTTGAAAAATAGCTCTGTTTTCTTCTGATGTGGAAATGGGGTTTATTCTGTAATTTCCCCAACTCCAGTCAGCGAGTGAGTGGTGGGTGACTTGAAAGATTCCCCTCCATTTGGGTTGGAGGGTATTCTATGCCTGCAAGCCCAACTCTGAACTGAAAAGTTAAGGTTGAAAGAAGGAACAGTCTTCAGGAAGAAAGCACTCTTTATCGTCGATTGGGGCATTCCTATGCATAAAACAGTGGTGGTGTTCTTGCTTCTTTTTCTCTATGCGACACTTTCCAAATGTAATTTGTTTTGACCTTTCAGTTACGACTTCATTCTCGGTCAAAGTTAATTTGTGCCAGCGACTTGAAGATGTAAGTGTGGTGTGTGATTGGCAATTCTTAGAAATAGACGTTCCAGTGCAGTCAATTTGGGACCCAGAATATGCCCAAGTCAAGCGTTGTGAAAGGCTTTGCATCAGAGAGCCCAGTCGATGTCTTTGAGGTACAGGCAGTCCCAGCTTTTAGAAGCGATGTGTTCTCAGAGACAGCCTCTTAAAAACACCTCCTCGGTACACTGAATCGGGTTTTGCCAAACATCTGTGTGGACGGGGACGGACACTGTTGGATCAGATGTTACAGCTCAAAGAAGGGACGCTTCGGTCTTTATCATGGCAAGCAGAGTAAGAGATGCCACGGAGTAGAGAGGGCACCCGGGGTCCCTGCAACCCCGACAACCGAGAGAGAAGTTTAAATTCCATGAAGTCGTGATATGATAACTACCATTTGCCGAGAGCTCGCCCTCTGCCAGGCAGTTTGCATCGTGAGTGCATCTGTTCCCCACAACGGTCCTATCAGGTCGTTCGCACCAGCTCCGTTTTCCCAAAGGAGCAGGTGCTCAGGGAGGTTTAGGAACTCAGTCCAGGTGACAGCCGAATGTGGCCGAGGCAGGTGCAGGATTCAAGCCCAAGTTTCCCAGAATCTGGGTCCTTGCCACCTTGCTATGCCGTCTCACCAGAAAGAATAGCGAACACCCCCACGTCTCATTTTGCAGGGAATGGATGAAATAGCGAAACTTTTTTTTTTTTTTTTTGGTTGGGGAAAAATCATTCTGAGTGCTGATTCAATCAGCTGCCAGGGCAGCATTGGGAAAGTCAGGAC